CTTAAACGCACCATCTGTGTTTTAACAAAACACCCAAAAAACCTGTAGCTGTCCCAACAACTCATGAGGAAAACTTCAAACTGCCTGATTTCCTAGCCTACACTTTACATGGGATGTGAACTGGGCTTATGTCCCCATAAGAAACAGTGGGTCCTCACCAGGCTGTGTAGTTTGCTTCATCTCTAAAGAGATGCTGCTCTTTAATATTGTTTATTTACTGTCTTAGTTGTGTGTGGTGTTTAATTTACATTTTGTTGTGCTTTTTTTTTTCAAGTGCATTTTTTGTTAGAGACTGAGAGTCCACTTTGTTAAACATTCTTTTAAAAATTAAAGTTTATTGATTTATTACACTTACATATTACGCTTTTATAATTATTAGTTGTAAAATGGTCACCAGGCAATATTATCGCTTATCGCAATAATTTTTGAGACAATTAATCGCACAGCAAAATTTGTTATCGTGACAGGCCTTACTGACGACAGGACGATAGAGGGTAAATTTCTACCGTAGGCCAACTTCATAGCATTTCTACTGTTTACCACATATACTGTGCAGCCCTAATTACAAGAAAAATGAAGAAGCCTCCAACTGAAGACACTCTGACAGTCTGATGAAGAGGATGGTCAGGTTTGTCCACAATGTTCTTGATTTTATGTAAAATCCTTCTTTGCACCATCATCTCCGGAGGTTCCACAGTCATCCCCAAAACAGAACCAGCTTTCTTTATCAGGTTGTTCAGCCTTTTTAGGTGCCTGGCTCTGAAGATGTTGCCTCAACAGATGCTCTCAACAACAGACTTATAAAAGATCTGCAGCATCTTGCTGCAGATATTGAAGGATCTCAGCTCCCTTAAGAAGTACAGTCTGCTCTGTCCTTCCTATTTCTCCTGAAATCTATAATCATCTTTTGTTTTGTTCCCATTCAAGGTGAGATGATTGATTAATCACTCGTACGTACAACTTAAAAACAAATCTGTTTGTTTGAACGGTTCATGAGGCCCATTGTTTCACAAATTGCACTCAACTTTACACAGCTATTTATGAACATATGTCACTGTCTGCACCTTGTCGACCTGAGGAATCAACACAGGTGAGTTGTTCTGAATGAATTTGCTGATCTGACAGTTATCTTCTCAGTGGGAATGAAAGTATCTCTTAAGGCCTCCAAATACTTCATTCAAAGCCCAACAGTCGACACGTGGTCACGTGGTTGTTCAACGTTCGTTTTCACACACACCTTTTATAGCCCCTGAGACTCACCGAGCAGCTCTGGGGAAAATTGCAACATGTGTGCAAAACCTGGTGCACGCAACTTTTCTGCGCATACATGAGGCTCCAGACCCCCAGCATCAACCTGACTGACTTAATGAATGTCTGGATAAAATGATTAGAGTTTCTAATATCGAACTTCAACATGCTCTCTCACCCAATGAGAAGGAAGACGAGGACGACCGCTGAGAGGAAGAGGCCTTGGCTGCCCAGTTTCCTGCTGAACAGGAGGCTGGAGTAACACAGAACACTGAGCAGCAGAACCCACAACATGTGCAGCTCGAAGAACTGAAAGAGGCCATAGGCACCAAGCACAGCTGACATCACATGTTTCACATTTGGTCCAAGTCCTGAAAACATAAAACAGAACTCAGTTAACAGTTAAACCCAAAAACTCAGATCTGTCATCAAGTTACAGAGTCTACATTCGCCTTGAAGGCTTCCGGTAAAACCTTCTTTATCATGATGCTGAGCCACTACAATATAGAGGTTTTGTACTTCAGGTGCTATTCTTTCAATATGTTCACCATCGGTTACACAACTTTAGGTTGTGATTTTAATGCTGGAGCTCAAGTACTCAAACAAGTCAATGTTTTATGTCCTGTTGAAAGTGTGAAAAACAAACCTCCAGTTGCAGTTGTGGGTGGGTTTACAKAATTAATAGAAATGCAATGAATCATTTTACCGACAGGCTGTCCGTATTAATGCACTAACAGTTCACTACGTAGTTTGGGATTGTTTGTTTGTTTGGCTCACATGATGTTACACTTCTAGGGTAATATAGCAACAACCTGAGTAACATCTTCAGTCGCAGTTCCATGTTTCTCCACTGTGCCTTATAACAGCTTAAAAATAAAAAAGAACGGTGTGGAGTGAAAGAATGATGTTTTTTCTAATTTAGTTCAAAATTAAGGAAATCTGCGCCAATAAATCGACTGGCTAATTTATCAGTGCACCCCTAGATAAAACGTCACCAGRCTGTCAGTTTAATAAGCCTTTTTTCTCCTGGGGTCGGATTTATAAAGCTTAGGTATGCACAAAATGAGCTCAGAAACTTGCGTATGTCACTTTTCACGCAAAGGTTGTAATTTATTAAACCCAAACTTGACATGAAAATGTGCGGTGCCTCACGCCAGCTCTGACCCATGCATATGTTCATTTTGGAGACGGGAAACTGCGACACAGATGGTGAAGTGAGGAATTAGAGCCACACTGTGTAATGATCACTGTCAGATATTTAATTTACCTTCAGAATCAAACTTAGGTTTTTATTTAACTTCATCATCAGCTTTCTTAACAGTAATGTTTATGCTTCTGCTGCTGAGCCATAAGGACCTTTGAAATTAAATACTTAAATCTTACATAAAAGTTCACACATTTCCATCCATCTCCTTCCTCCTCAGACGACCCTGACCCACAGACCCCTCCGCGACAAGACAAGACATTTCAACAGCACAACAGCAAAAGTCACGCTTTGGGTAGACGCAGGGRGCGCCCACCCTCGCCAGTGTGGATGTTATAAAAAGTTCACTTTTTAAAGTCCGTATTTCTTAAGCGCGCGCTGGGCTGTGGGGATGTGAGGGGGTGGGGAGACGATCAGCCGCAGATAACAGAGCAGACAGGAGGGGAAGGACAGGGGAGAAGAGAGGTTAACTCATTTCTAATTTTATCTGACTTATTTAATTTTATTCATTATTTTTATCATCCTGCAGGCTCTGAGAGAAAATTAATTTGAAGCTGAGTTTTTGATAAATATCATTAGATTACTCTAAACGTCTGTAAACCTGAAAAATGAGGGAAAATCTGTGTCAATTACAGACATTCTGTTCACGTGAGCAGTAGTCAGCACCTGTCATCTTCCAGACGCACGACGGAGCGTGTCTGAGCCAATTGTTTTTTTTTTACTTTGATCAGCTGACTGATTTAAATACATTGATATATATTACTGGATTGGGCATCACGTGACCAGGGCGTGCTTCATAGGGGGGATTTTTATGAATTGAGCTAATGCTAACGCTAACCACTGAAATCAATAAGCAGAATGTAGCACAGTGCAAACAAATGCTTTATAAACGTACAAATGGTAAAGACTTTGCTATAAACTACAGAAATTGTTACATGTTTACAAGACCTAAAAGGGTTATGTTTCATAGGTAAATATTATGCATATTTAACAAAAGTGTATTATTTTAATCATAAAACCTGTATGCTAACATTAAAAAGCTTCAATATGCATGTTTAACCTTTTTTAAAATCTATTTTATCTGTTGTCAAATATGTTATTTACTGATATTAATAGGTTAGGGTCTCAGTGGGGTGCTCACCATGTGGAACTGAGGTTGCTCAAAATTGCTGCCTGTAGGTCTCTGGTGAAACATCAAACTTAGTCAGCAGTGCTTCCTTCAGTTTCTTGTAGCAGTGGGCTTTATCTTCATTCATTGCAGCGTAGGCCTCCAGCGCCTTACCAGARAACAATGGAACTAGTCGACAGGCCCACTCACATTTAGGCCACTTCCATGTCTTTGCAATACGTTCAAAACGCATCAAGTAATTCCTCTCCAACTTGATATGGAGAAATCTTGGTCTGAATAAAGCCTCCTACCAGATCTTGTACTGCCAGATGTAGTATCTGTATAAGTACAGTGGTTTGCAAAAGTATTCATACCCCTTGAACTTTTCCATATTTTGTCACATTACAACCACAAACAAAAATATATTTCACTGGAATTTAATGTGAAAGACCAACACAAAGTGGTTTACAATTGTGAAGTGGAAGCAAAATTTTACATGAATCAAAACATTTT